CCCGACGCCTCCGGGGTTCTGTTCTCTGGCGCGCCAGATATAGAAGCCCGCTATGACATTGGCAGCGTTTTCGAGCTTGGCGCTCTTCATGCGCGAACTTTGCTGCCAGTATCGTGGAGCGTCTGCAATGACCTCGCCAACTTTTTCCATTCTGCGCACCACTCGCCTTCCACATTTTGACGCAACCGCTACTGGAGGAGTTGGCATGGTGTCGACATCATATTCGAAGCGGCGAATAAGCCAGAGCTGGCGCGATTTATCGTGGCCGGGAGGAAGTGGAGCCTCGCTTTCTCTGAGGAGTGGAGTTTCTTCTGTGGAGTTGTGTTTTTACCCCGCAACTCTGCCGGGATGGAGCACATCAAGACGCGGAACCGGCTGAGCAACTGCTTCAAGGGCAGAGGCTTCTACGTCGGGGCTGCTTCCTGCGTGCATTGCTGTTAGATGCACACGAGGCGACTGCCTGATATCGTGAGCAAGCGCAAGGGCTCTACTGGGTAAGAAACTCAACTGGAAGACGAAACCAACAAACTTAAACAAAACTGCCACGGAGTAAACAACTCGGAGAATGGCGCCTGGCGTGGTGTGGTTGATAGATGGGAAACGAGGCGCGGCTTCTTTGAAGTAGCACGCTGCTCAGGCGCTGCAGATGGCCAGCCTCTAAAGACTACTACGGGGATCAGAATAGTGATCGATCAGCAACGACAGGAAAGAAGTAAGATCGCTGCGGTCTTATTCCAAAGAGCACACGGCACCGCCTACAAAAGAAACGAGCCCCAACGCCAGCAGCTGACCCCCATGAGATGAGGTTGCGGCGAAGACCTGAGCCCGGCACTGAAAAACCTGCGAGGTTGTTCTGAAAGAAGTGGCCCAGAGTAAGCGCCTGGCCCTTGTCGTGATGTTGCGAGCTGCCTCCATGATAAGGCTTCAACATGAGGCGCGTGCGTAGTAGGTCTTCACCTGTTTCAAAATTGCTTGCCTTAAGTTTCCCCTCAGAGAGCACCCCCGAAGGTGTCCCCCTAAGTGGGTCCTTCGCTATCTTGGTACCATCCGCGGCGCCTTATCTAGTTCAGTCGTAATACAATTCAGCCACTTTAGCCCACAACTGCACAGCCCGGCCGTCATTTATCTACAACCATTCCCATCGGCGTCGTTTCTTCATCGTTTTCGTGTGTGTTGCTTGCTTTATCGTCGTGCTTTTATTCGATGCTGCCCCTCCATCATCAACCGCCGCCCCCCCTCGAATATTCACAACGAAGGCCCTCGACCTTTCTCCAGCATGTCCGTCGCAGGTCTTCGCCAACACTGGAGCGCCGCGGCCTCCACCTATCAACATCGAGACGCAAGAGAGCACGCGCCCGGCATCTTCGGGATAGCGCCTACTCCTTGTTTCCCTTGCGGGCTTGTCACTTGCCAGCCGGCTCGCTGCGCTTAGGCTTCGGCCCTCCATTCTCGTCCACGTCTTCCTCCTCTTGCGACAGAGATCCGTCTTCAAGTGCGTGACAAGAAGGAGCGCGCTCTTGCGAAGCGGAGGCGCTGTCTGAGGTAGACGAAGACGCGCCCGGGGTATCCATAGAGCTGCCAGCTGACGGCCCGCCAAGTCCACCAAAACCAGCAAAGAGAGCGGCAAGGCCCTACGCGGGGGGTTTTAGTTGTTTCGAAAGGAGTCGCAGGGCGAGTTATTGACGCGGGCCAAGACCCTCCGAGGCTTATCCAGAAACTCGGGCGAAACAGTTTCAGAAATGAAAAAAAAGCATGGGGTTGGTTCAGGGGTGCTCTTATCTCTTAATAGCTAGACCGACAACATACACACCGAAAAGCACGACCACACCACTAAGAGCTTCACCACAGAGAGAACAACCGACAGAACAATTTGACCCAAGTCCATCCCGCGGCAGTCGTTTCACTCCAACCGAATCACCAGACTCTCGGACCGATCCCACCGCCTTCCTCGCATCACCTCGCTACTCTCTCCCTCTGTCGATCCGCGCGCCGTCTCCCTGCCGGCATCTCTCTATTGGTTTCCTCAGCTGTTGAACAAGTTCCAAGGCATCCCGCGAAGTCTGGCACCCGCTGCCCGCTACATTGTTGGTAGTAGCGGAGAACCCCGAAGGGTAATACAAACTATCTAGGTTGATGGCTGGGGGCTCTGAGTTTTTGCCTCTGCCACACGGTGGAGCGCTATAGGCTAGACGATCCTATCTGCGTGGTACCAAGTGGCTCAGGACTTCATTACTCGCGACGTTCATACTTACAACATTCCCCAGCATGCTGAGGCTGAGAAACGTCCAACATGTGGGGCCCATCGGGTCGCTCTGGCTCTCGGCCTCAAAAAATTCGTCATGATTGATTATTTCTTATTTCATTTACCCCACACGCCACACAGTGCATCCCTGTAAAGTGTTCACCCACGTCCCTTAGTGCTTATATAAGTACTTCAGTCCTCGCACTTTCAGCATAGCACTTCTCAACATACCACACCACGACACTGCTCCAACCTACAGAGTATACTAGTAGAAGACACGAGGACACGCGATCGAATGGTTTGGGGCTCAACGATCCTCCCCTTCATTTTCTTAAATATCTTCTATTTCGATTCCATGTATAGAAAACCCCCGCAGGGGAAAAGAAACGCGCACTGTGTTGCGCGATTCTACTTCATCAATTACATCACTCACGTCGTAGCTTTTTCATGAAGTCGCTCCTTCTAAAATTGATAAAATGAATTCGCTCTAAATCTGTGCACGAGGTTCAGCGATTTCTTCAAATAATGACGCCGAGCTTTATCGTCTCAATTGGGTAGAATGTTGACAAGAAAGCTCTCGGATAGAAATAACACCGAACTTCATTACTTCGTGGCTCATTAGGAGGCATGTCCATTGTCAGTTGTAACATTCGCCATTTGAGTTCGCATAATCATTACGCCAGAATATCGAAGAACTCTCGATAGATAAAAGTGGAAATCTACTAAATAGCTCAAACTTCAAACGAATGGAAGCGCGAGACCTGAATAACGAAACGCCGGCACGGCTCGACGTTTTAGTGCAGAAGTTTTCAAAGTTTCACGATGATCAATAGACTCCATAATCACTTCATATTTCTACCGGAATTTTTCTAAGGTGTTTAACGATGGAAATGATTTACAAGTAAAACGCAACATCAGTCTTCATCATCAATCGGCATCAAGATTTCACTTAGTCAGAGTCTTCCACCCCCACAACCTCAACAGCTTCATCACCACCTTGCTGCAGATCCTCACCACCATCAGACTCTTCCTGGTTTTCATCTTCGGCATCAGCTGCGCCACCGTTGATGGGTGCATTCTGGGCGGCCATGTTCATGCAGTGCTGCATCGAGAAACCTTGAGCAACAGGGGCGACACCATTCGAAGCAGCTGCTCTGGTTGCCTGGTCCACCTTGGTGGCAACTTGCGAAATGCGATCCATGGAAACGAAACGCCAACGATTGTCGCACTCGTTAAAGGCCTTGCGAGCCTTGGCCACCTCACCTGGAGGGGAGAAGATGGGACTTGAAACGAGAAGACGAAGAGATGACTGAAGGAAAAGGAAGCCTAGTACCCACAAGTTCTGAATTGTTAAAGATGCCCGTCTGATGATGCTCGCATATCCTAAGACTCAACACGAAGGATCTCAATAACCATCAGAAAGAAATAACACCAGCAGCCAACGCCGCATCCACAGCCTGCAAGATGGTCTTCGACATGAACGAAATGAAAGCGGAGCGAAGCAGCGACATCTGCAACGTCAACACGCTGCCCCAACTTCCATTATCCCACTCCCCCACCAAACGAGCGACAGTCTCCTGCTGCGAACGTGCATCAATGTAGTCTCCGGCCACCACTTTGCCCAGGTTGATGATGAGCTTGGCCGCGATGGAGAAGCCCTTGACAGCGTCGCTGGTGAAACGGCCGAAATAGATCAGCAGATCCGCGACGTTCACAACGACCCCGCTGCTCTTGAAACCAGCAGCCACCATGCTGAGCTTCGAGATGAAAAAACTCGGATCCTGCAGGTGAGCGCTTTCGGCCAGACGCATCAGCTTGCGCTTGAGGCGACCCTGCGGCAAAGCCTTGCCCACACACTTTCCGAAGTAACGGCTCTGAAACGAGAGGGATAAGATTTCTTCGATGACGTTTAAAAGATGGCGCGGCGACGTAGTCGATTGACATTGATGGCACAACGCTACACACTATTACACCTCCAAGGAAGAGCAAGAACATGAGCACGAGAGTAGTTGGCGACGGGTATCCTGATAGAGTTTCCCGATGAGATCCCTTGACAACTTACAGCAATCATTTGACAAGAACAACAGATGAGCAATCAGATGGGAGATAAGTTAGTACTTTAAGGCCGGCACTGTCCTCGATCTTGATATTCCAAACTGCACTCAGTCCCAGAAACAGAGGATGGGTAATCGCGATCACCAAAGCGTTGGCCAAAGTGCGGAACCAGTGCTGCACATTAGTGCCCACCTGTGGAAGAGTGAAGAGGTTGTGACGATATGCAAAGGAGACAAGGAACAAGAAAGAAATACCGAAAAGTTTGCAGAGACTTCAGAAACACTCTGAAAAGACAGGAACCCACTCGAGACATCACCTAGTTGTAGAAAACCAAATGCATCAAACTTATGCGCACCAGCTGCCACGGATTGCGGTCGAGATTGCCACCAGGCAGGCCCGCAGCCAGTCCCATGAGGAGGATCCTGCGGAAGAACTCCCAGCCGCCGGCAATGATGCCGCTCTTCACCTGTTGGGACGTCAGACCACCAAACGTCGCGTAATTGTTGGCCGGATCAGCCTTAGATAGACCAAAGGCCTACGTTTTAGGACCATCCGAAACACCCTCTACAGTGTCCTGTAGCGTCCCATTGTGTCCCATTGTGTCCGGGGCTTCCATGGCTCAAGGGCCTCGACCCCCGATCCACGGAGCCCCCAAGGAACACAACCACGACCCAACGGGGACCCAAAGGACACAACGAAGGCCACACAGGACCCCCAAGAACAGAACACACACAAGACACCCCCCCAACAGCAGAACACACACAAGACACCCCCCCCCAACAACAGAACACAGTGAACACACACAAGACACACCCCCCCCAACACAGAACACACAACTAGCCCTTGACGCCACAACCCTATCTAACCACCCAACCATAACCACCCGTGATGCCACAGAAGACCCAAGAAACATCCCAAACCGACCACCGCACTCCACAGAATTCTAGGCATATGAAGGACTGCGACCCACTCAGACAGAAAATACAACCAGACAACCGATAGAAAACTACCGACAACCCATCCTACCATCCACCCAACCCATAAACCGACAGATTGCGAACGCTCGCCCGCTCGTACGTTTGTATGATCTCACACAGCAGAAAACGGGACTAGACTACAACGCGCTCTCACTTGCTCGCTCCAGCCAGGTCTCTTCTTCACAAGGCTAAAAACACTCGGGCTAGATAGCCCCGTACTCCACAAATGCGCACCGCTCGGCGCTGGGGAGTGGTGGCCCCATGGTCGGTCTTGTTTTTTCAATTTCAAAACTTGATGCACGAACTAGTATAAGATCTTAAGGTCCTCACTCAATTTGTTTTTTATAAATTCAGGAGCTGCAGCTCAGTTCCTCGATGGATAGGTTTATATTGCGAAAGATACAAACGCACATCAAAGGGAATCGCGCCCCTTTCCATGCTTCGGGCGGCTCTATCAGCATCAAGATGCCGTGTAATGGCACCGCAATGTTCTCAAGATGGTAGAAGAATAAAGTACTACCCTGGACAAGCCAGAGCACAAAAGAAGATGGTCTTTCTATCTTTCTGCAATTCAACTAGGGAACTGTCATGAGACCTGTGACAGACAAGGCCGAACATCCCACAAGGCGGGATGACTAGCAGTAGCATATGGCGCGCCACTAGATTGGAGCTGTAGTGGATTAATAAGTCAATAAGTTTATATCTATCAGAAATTTGTAGTCTGCGCTCCAGGAAGCGCGTGCGACTGTAGTTATCTACACTGACTAGTGACAGCGTCCTTATATCAACAGTCCTAAGTTAGTATGTCCCTACCAGCAATTTTCATATTCCTACTTCTTATTTTCACCAAGTTTTATTTTCATCACGATTTTATATACATGAAAGATGGGGGACCGCATGCAGCACGAGTGCGGCAGTGGCCCCCCGTAGAATGAATCAACGTCGCCACTTCTGAAATCGTGGCCATTCAATTTTTAATATAGTCAACCTGTGCGCTGAGGATCATGCATATTCTGCGAGGCCATGATCGATCCACCCGTCGGTCTTTCTGGCTTTCTCGCAATAAAATCAAATATCATTATATGTCTTATTAATTTTTATACTCAAGAAGATATGTGGTAGATATAATATCAACATCTTATATTCGTATCTATCTAGTATAAATAAATACCAATATATCTTATATATAAAAATTAAAACTTTTCTCATAGAGGAGTCCCCCACATCCTCTCGCCAATCATCACCAACTACATTCTTTAATCAAAGGAGTAGCACTAATTTAGGCAATCCCGACTGATGTAGCCTATCACTGGCATGGATATAATTATCACGGTCGAATCTGTCATGACGGTTCCGCATCAATGCTCTACCTAGCTATCTTGCTATCACCATATGGGTCCCTGAGTGATTCTAGTATCAAATCAATCACCTTATCTTCCTCGGACGCCAACTCCTTAGTAGGCACCCCCATAACGTCCGACTTCGTCGAGCGACCAGTTTAAAAAAGAGCGGCTGAGCCGCCGAATTTCTCCTGGAGTCGCTTCTGCCGATCCGCATGGCGCTTGGCGCGATCGTTCTCTTTGTTGACGTCAGCATTGAGCGCGGACGCGCTAGACGGGTCGGAGCCTTTTGGCGGAGCAGGAGCCGTGGAACTCGTGCTCGCGGAGGCGCCGGCGGCTTTCGTGCTTGTGGTGGGTAGCGGTTCTCCCTTCGGCTTCTTGTCTGTGTTTTTCGGCTTCATCTTCACCAGTTTCAATTTCGACATCTTGACCGCTTTATAGTCCAGAACAGGAGCAAAATCGACATCGCAAGACTTGTCGTTTACCTGAGCGTACAGAAAAAGCATCACAGTCTGTCAGAAAATAAAGCCGATAACTATCCTTTCTCAATTAGAACGAGACGTCCTCGATGACAGCGAACGAGATTCCAAGAATGAAAGTCAGCTATGAGAAAGAGAAAGTGAAAAAGTGAGAAAGAGTACTATAGTCCTGCCCTATCTATCCTATCCTTCCATCCAAGCAAACCACTAAAAGACTCAATAGGAAATAAGCCAAAGACTGTAGTACCCGAGTCACTTTGCCCACGGCTTCCTGCAGCTGCTCCAACGAGCCCGAGGTGAAATTGCGGGGGCGACGTTGCACGTCGATGCGCACCAGCTCACCCATTTCGAACTCAGGCATCACTGTATTCTCGTCCACGGGTCCGTCATCGTCATTCTTGGCACCAGCGTCCTTGCTACGCGTCTTTTTGGAGGTGCTTTTGGAGGCATCTTCACCTGTCTCAGCCGCAGGCGTGGTAGTCGCTTTCTTTTTTAGCCCAGACACAAAGCCCAGCAGAGTCGTCTGCGTCGGTTTTCCATCGGTTTTGCTTTTACCAGACGCCGAGACCGCAGCCTTGTTGGTCTTGCTCTTGCTGTCCTTGGATTCCTCCTCCTCGGCGGTCTTGCCGGCCGCTTCCTGGGCCTCTTTCAGGGCCTTTTTCACTTGAAAATCCAGAGCCTCGTTGAACATCGCCTGCGCGGCCGTAGGGCTGCCCGACTGCAGCGACTCCTCCAGCGCCTGCGAAAACATGTCCACGTAGTCGCAGTCGTCAGCATACGGGTTCGGCGACTCCTCGCCTTCCGACTTCACGTGTTCCTCCTCTGTAGCCATCTTCTGCTGTTTCTCGAAATCCAACTGGCGGGGAGGCAGGTGCGACTTGCTGTTCTCCGGGTCAGAGCCGTCCACGCCTGTCTTCGGAGTGGGCTGCATCTCCATCTCCTCCTCAGAGTGAGACTCCAGAGGGTTGTTGTAATCGTCGTCGCCAACATGCGTGCTTCCAGCGGCAGTCTCGTCGCATCCCGCTTGACATTAGAGATACAAGATTAATCTTCCTGGCGTTCGTACACTGCGGCACTAATTACCCCCGTCTACCCCGCTATTCATATGATGCCTCCCGACTAATTTAAGTAACCGCAGCACGGATTAAACGAACAACCAGGACGACACTACACTTAATTGAAGTCCAACTTGGATCCCGCAACCGAAGTCGAACCAGGCCCCATCTCCGACTCCTCAAAAAGAGGCGGCAGCTTTCCATGCATGAAGGTGTTACGAGGGGCAGCACGCGGAGGCACGGCGAGGCGCTTATCCTTATTCGTCTGCAAAAGGCCAGGCGGCGTCTGGAGCAGATCGTCTTCTTCGCTGACCACGGGCGTCGAGCCGGCCGCGCCTTGCGGCACATCGCTGCATACCGGCGTCTCGGAATTCATATCGGCCTGGCCCTGCTTGTCTTCGTCCGGCAGGCACAACGGAGTCTCTGCCAGGTCGTCTCCCTCCTCCAAATCGATATCAGAAAAAGGATTCTTCAGGTCCGACTTCGCTTCCGGTTGGGAATCCTGTGCCTTTTCTGGCGTGTTCGCGGACGGCTCCTCCGACTTCGAGGGCGGCATGTCTGCCGTCGGATCTTGCAGCGGAACCTGTGTAGCCGGCTTCGGGTCGGTCTCTTCGTGCGGCTTCGGAGCCGTGTCTGGAGCAGGCTTCGGACCGGTCTCTTCGTGCGGCTTCGGAGCCGTGTCTGGAGCAGGCTCCGGGCCGGTCTCTTCGTGCGGCTTCGGAGCCGTGTCTGGAGCAGGCTTCGGGCCGGTCTCTTCGTGCGGCTTCGGAGCCGTGTCTGGAGCAGGCTTCGGCACGGTCTCTTCGTGCGGCTTCGGAGCCGTGTCTGGAGCAGGCTTCGGCACGGTCTTGTCTTGCGGCTTCGGGCCGGTCTCCTCATGCCCCTTCGGAGCCGTGTCTGTAGCAGGCTTCGGCACGGTCTTGTCTTGCGGCTTCGGGCCGGTCTCCTCATGCGGCTTCGGAGCCGTGTCTGGAGCAGGCTTCGACACGGTCTCGTCTTGCGGCTTCGGGCCGGTCTCCTCATGCGGCTTCGGAGCCGTGTCTGGAGCTGGCTTCGGCACGGTCTTGCACTGCGGCTTCGGGCCGGTCTCCTCATGCGACTTCGGAGCCGTGCCTGTGGCCGGCTTCGGCACGGTCTTGCACTGCGGCTTCAGGCCGGTCTCCTCATGCGACTTCGGAGCCGTGCCTGTGGCCGGCTTCGGCACGGTCTTGCACTGCGGCTTCAGGCCGATCTCCTCATGCGGCTTTGGAGCCGTGCCTGTGGCCGGCTTCGGCACGGACATTTCCTGCTTCTTCGGAGCCGTTTCTGCCTTAGGGGACGTTCCTGTTGTAGTCGGCTCCGGCTTCGTGTCGATCTCGGTCGCCGGCTTCGAAGACGTTGCTTTCTTCGGGTTCTCGCCCACCGGGTTTGGGACTTTCGTCACGTTGGTTTTGGCCGTCTTCGTCTCGCTCGCCTGATTCTCGCCGGCCTTGCGCGCTTTCTCCTCCCTATGAGATTCCATTTTCTTCCACGTCTGCACGCAGAAATCGAAATTGAAGATAGCCCAGAGAAGACTCTTCGGCGGGGCCTTCAAAACGAGCGGTTTACCAGCAGCGCCCACGCCGCGCACGGTTAGATAATTCGCCAAGCACGAGATGATCGCCAGCTGGTCTTTGTTGGTTTCGCCCTGTTAGTGTGGTATTTTCATGTTAGTCATCTCCACTGAACAAGCTAGGTAGCTACAGATGAGTCTAGGAGAGAGAGAACAGAAGAGAAAACAATAGATAATGACTCATGACACGATAAGAACAAACTTGATGAGTTAGTCCTGTCTGAGAGCAACTAATAGGTAAGGAATACACAAGATGACGGGGGAGCAATGAATCTGAGAGAGAAAAAACGAACTGAGGATAAACAGAGAAACAGTACCAGCTTGCAAGATGTTCGGCTCATCAGTTCCGGGAGCTTTGTGGCGCTCTCCAGCTCGGGGTTCCACTGGTCGCATCTGTGTGCGGTCGACGTCGCGCAGCGCACGAAATAGGCCTGATTCGCGATCTCGACGGCGAGGTCGATGTCCATTCCGAACAAAATTCCTGACTTTTCCAACTGCGGCAACATGGTGAGATACTCGCGGAAGCGAACATCGACCACCAAGCCCTCGTCCTGAAATTCACCAAAAGCTTCCAGGTTCACGGAACCACGCAAAAACTGCGCGACCAGGTCGTTTACCACAGCGGTGCCAGCTGAAGCCATGAGCTTTTTCGGCGTGTAGATGAAGGTCTTCAAGTGCAAAAGGTTGCCCAGCATTTGACCCAAGAGGGGGCGCAGTTCCGGAGTGACGTCCTTGTCGAGGGCCTGATTTAGTAATTGATGGCGACGATCGGACTCGATCTCCAAAAAAGTAGGAGAGTACTAACTTACTGAACCTTCTCCCGAAGAGATATCTCACAGAATGACCACAGCCAGACTTCATTTAGTAAAATGGAATAAGCACAAGAAATAAGAAGAGTAGACAACTAGCATCAACGTTACTCACAGGATTCCCAGGAAATCAAAGATAACGTCTTTACCGGATTGTAGCCCATTCCTTTCCCCATGACGAACGCTGCTCGTTCCTGCGTCGAGCCATAGAGGACAACGCAGGCATTCTGGTCCTTTACCACCAGCGAAGTCATCAAGTGTTTCACTTCGGTCTTCAGAGTCTCCACCGCCGCAAGGTATTCGGGGCTTCCCTCAAAAAGTTAGAAGATACAAGCAACGATCGAACGCCCGACGAAGACAGACAGATGCCCTTGGAGGTGTTCGCTCCACGCATGCAAACTTACTATCAGACCCCTGACGAAGCCCCGATGTATCGAACACCTCCACTAATGAAGTCTACCAATCACGCCATACACCGCGTTTCCAATATTTTTGGAATAGGCCGCCATGGCTTTGCAAATGCCGGTGACAGCAGACGCGCGCATGCTCGTTTGGTGCAGCGCGCTGCCGCAGATGAGCGGCGCCTTCGAAGCGGGAATCGCACCACCCCCGAGGACCGCCTTCGAGAAATCACGATCAGCAGGGATTAGATGCGAGACAGCAACAGCCTACTCAGCAACTCCGTCGTGTGGAGCAGTGTCCGATCTCTCGCCACATTCAAACGCAGGTTACTCTCTTCGGGAGAGAGACAGGACACTGCACCACAGTGGGGTAGGCTGCAGCGAGCAGGCGCCGTCGCTCATAACTTGAGCAATGCGACCACCAACATCATGCCGGACGTCACTTTGGGATCCAGCTTGTCCTTCTTCTCCTTGGGAGTCTGGCCGTCTTCCGCGATGAAGTCCGCCCGGGTGAGACCACAGAGGTCCTGGAACAACTGGATGAGAAACTGCAACCTGGAACGAGTGAGATCGTTATATATTGGAACTGGGCGCATAATTGCTCCATATCTGAGTGCTACGTGCAACCACCTACTTACCCAAAATTTTCTCTATGCTGCTCCCACTGTATGTGTGTTTTCCTCATAGCACCATTACTAGTGCCCGTAGAGAAGAATGCTGAGAGTGATCAGAGCCGGAGCCAAGACACTAGCAGTACAGGTCAAACCATGACGGTTAGGACAGTATCAGACATTACTACCACCTTAGATCCTTGCACTAGGGAAGAATACCAAAGCGGGCAATGACTGCTCCAAGCAAGTATCTCTATGTCAGTCAAGTCAATCTATGCACGGAGAAAGAAAAGGAAGGAAGGGGCACCCCCTACAGATACCAAGATATGAAGACGCGAGGAGAAGAAGTGAGGAGCTAGTGACTCAGCTGCGACCTACATCAGCCATTAATTATTTGACTCAGAGAAAACAACATATACTCCGACAACAAAATAATTCAAACAGAAACACAGACAGAAATACTCTGACAACGGCGCGCCGACATCCAACGTGGCAGAAGCCATGACGGGCAGCAGCTCGCGTTTCTCCTCAGCGGTCAACAGGGCCCCCATTGTCTCAACACAGATTTGAGCGTCGGCCCAGCGGGATGCCTTTAAATGGCTCGTGAACAAATCCAGGAGCTCCTCAGCGTCAAACTTGTCGCCGTCCTTGCCCTTGGTCTCCAGCTGTGTGTTTTCAATGCGAGGACCAGTAAGAATATATATCTAGATGTGTCTACATCTACTTATATGCGTATAAATATAGAAACGACGTTTTTTTATGATACAACAGACGAGGACAGTGGCAATATAAGACAAAACAGAAGACTACTCTTTTATAAATATTATTATAATGCAGAATGCATACACTTATTTTACCTGATGAATCAAACAAACAGAAAAACCGCCGACAAGATGAAACAGTAACAGCTACTGATAAATATACTTATTTATTCAAACAATACCCCGACGACGCTGTTCGTGTGCTTGCGCCGCTTGGTGTTTTCATCATCGACACCACCGCCGACGTCACCGCCTTGGCCATCTCGTTCGTCGCGATTGCGCTTGCTGTTCTGATCATGGCCGACGCCTTCCGGAGGCGGGTTCATATCAGAATCTTCCTGAGGCGGCTCGCCGTCAACATCCATCGGCACAGTATTGGCATCGCCGCCAGCAACCTGGGGTCATTAATTTGTTCCAATTAAATCATCGCCGGCAATCTATCACGATCAAGTTAGCCTATCAGCGTATGTAATCACCATCGTCAAAGCTTCACCATCAGGACGACCATCATCAATTCAGATCAACTTATCCCACACTATCAAAGTCAGTCTCATAAGTCAGTACCTCCACCCACTTCGTGGAACGCGACTTACGGACGATTTTGAGACCCAGCGACGGAGTGAACGGCGGCAAGCGAGCCACACCATTCCCGAAAAGGTAGTTGTCGGCTGCAGGAACCTGCTCCAAAACCTCGGCCGGCACAGATTGGAGGAGCTGCTGCAAATGCTCGGGGCCCGGCTGATCAGCGTGCGACTTCGGATGGGTATCTTAGAGTTTGGACGTAATGAAAGACATCGAGATCGAAGGCCCTTGCTACCAATGAGGTCGGAAGCACTACAAGGTAGCTAGAGCGAAGATGGATTTCTTTCAACGACTCCCATAAAAATAAATCTCCACGACATCCTCCAGCGACTGCTTCCACTCCTCTTTGGTCGTCTCCGCCCAGGTATTCCGAGATTAGAAGCACGGGCAATCAGACTCAGAGTTAAATGCGAGGCATGTCATAGAGAGAAGATACTCTGAAAGTAGAAGAAGATCAATAAATATTGCAAAATATAAAATCAGCGATGAATTGAGAAATAAATCAACCACGCTCGATCTAATAAAAGACCTCAGAAAACCACCTCCACATCATAACAAAAATTCGCGTCGAGGCGCACACTAGCCGCGTCAGGCTTCTTCTTTCGAAACTGCTCCAGCACCGCCTGGCTCATGTAGGTGCACCTGGACAGAGAGGCACATCAATAGCGGAGAGCAAGAGACACCAGAGACTTAATAAATTATCAATACTGTGGGGGGAGAAAGAGAGATGCATCGTTATCATGATTTCAGTTAATTAGTTAAAAAGGAGCTGAATCACAGGTAGCTATACAATTGGCCGACTGAAATGCCCAGATCTTTCGCGGCTTTCTGCGTGGTCTCGAGGTTGTAGCCAGCGGACCGGTCAGCACGATCCGCGGCAGGCGCCTTCCCCTTCGCCAATGCCCGGAGGCGAGCGTTTAGCGCGACCACATCGAATGTGCCCAGCTTCACCATTTTTTTTCGTCCTTTTCGATATTTCTATTCGAAGTAATCAAATACCTTAACAGATACACGATAGAAAGCCTTTACTTATGTGATGCTTATATTATGATGATACTTTATGTTATGATATGAATTTGATTAGATACCGCCTCGAAAAAGATTGCTGAGTGATGACTGACGACAGAGAAAGAATGTTTATTTTTGCGCTAGATTAGTAGAAGAAGCAGGACGAGCCCACTATATACTTTCCAGCTTACACTGCAGGTTGGTTTGAATGAGATAGGATGAAAAAGTGCGCCCACCTGATAAATGAGAAATGAGGGGCAAGCTAGAGACTGCGCTGAGCTTTGAGATTTCGTTTCCCATATGCACCTCTTCAAATCAAACTTTCACGCCAAAGCGCCAGACTTGTACCCATTAGCACACCAGGAACGGATCAGAGGCGCGCGGCGATACTACGCAGGAACTGCCGCAAGGGCTCTTTTTCTTACCCTTCACATTGTGAGGCGCGTGATGACTCAGATGGAGACTCAGAGGATCCTTTCGTAGCATTTCTACAGCATTGCACGACCCAACACCATCAAAAAATGCACCACATAAGCCGGAATATGCAGAAAAATGCCCGAATTTCAGGTAGATTTTCCGGAAAATGTAGGACTTTATAGGACGTTATAGGACGCTATAGGACGTTATAGGACGTTATAGGACGTTATAGGACACTATAGGACACTATAGGGCCTATTTGTCCCTTAATTGTTCGATAAGGACACTATAGCCGGCCCCATTTGAAACATTTTCGAATGGGATGCCTCTGCTCGATGCTCCGGCGAGCGAAACAATATCCCACGGACCTCGGGATCAATCTGAAGAACCTCTTTTACTTTTCCGTTGATGCGGGGGGTGGAGGTGGATTTCAATGGGGTGGGGACTGCTGAGGCATGCCTTGCATGCGCCACGATTCATCTTTAGCATGCGCAGTCCTATGGATAAATGGAAGAAGACCAAAGTGAGGGCGTGTTTATCACAGCAAGCACCAATAGGTCGACGCAGGCATATTTTAGATATTTATCACAGCAAGCATATTTTAGATGCAGCAGTAGGTCGATGCAAGTTTATCACAACAAAAGGCTATTTAGATATTTACCACAGCAATAGGTCGATGCAAATTTATCACAGCAAGCATATTTTAGATATTTATCACAGCTGCAAGCATCAGTAGGTCGATGCCAATTTGAAGCGTAGAGATTCATCACAGCAAGCATCAGTAGGTCGATGCCAATTTGAAACGTAAAAAGTAAAGGTGTCTAGTGTGAATGTACGTGCTATCTTTCTAGATTAGTCACCGTCTAGCAAGAACTAACATCCTTCATTCGCAAGAAGTAGAAGTCATTACGTATTACCTGGAAAATGATAATTGAGAAGTAGAAGTCATTATGTATAATTACCTGGAAAATAAAAAAGAGTGGCTATATGAATTCACAGACACGCTAGAAAGAGCGACTTGACTTTTGCCCAGCGCCACCGTGCCCCGATGAGGGTCCTAGCATCTAGTCTTAAAAAATCGACGCCCCCCCTAACTCCTTGCCCAATCTAGACGCCAAGATACTCAGCGAGGATGAGTTTGTTCGCCGGCTTCCACTTCTTCGATTCGATTACCGCTTTCAATTCTGGCAGCAAATACAACGGCAAGTTGTCGACCAGCGTCTTGACAGCAGCCCGGTGCTCCCGCAATTTGTCTGCGCGGCATGGCCTGGACATCCAGAAGGCGTGATGCGTTTCCATTTCCACAAGCATCCAGCACCGCATGTAGCAAATAGCTACAGTTTCTCCTACTCCTTTCGTGACACCGTGCGACATCAGCGGCTTCGGCTGCCCTGGCTGAGCCGGAAGCTTCTCGCGGTACTTGAGCCAGTGGCTCTGACAGGTCGCCCGGATGTCGTTCCCGTGGTTGACGCCGTGGTTGCTCAACCTCCAAGATTAGAGTGGGGCTGAATAAATATCGAAGTGCTCTTGTCAACATCTTGGATTATGCGTACCTTGAATAATATCTCACGTGAGAACGAGACCAAGATGGTGCCTAACATAGATGGATAAAGCCTGGGCATAACAATAGCCATCGTGATAGCAGGTCCAATGCCCCTGCTCCTTCCGCATTAGTTCCGATATTTCTTCCGCTTCCAGGAGGTTTTCCTCGTTGTCATTCACGTCCATATCAAAAATTAGAGCCTCATGGTCCGTCGTGGGTTCGTCTCTGATAAGTCCTGTTTCATCTTCTGTTTCTGTAAGTAGAGAGGCGGCGATAATTAATGAAAATCTTCTGTCATCATAATATATAGGGCGGCCTCACTCTATGCTAGATTTTAATACATAGGCATAATTAGTTAATTACTTCCTTTCCTATTTTCATCAATTGACTTTAAAGTAGCAAAGTGAGAAACTTCATTCATGATCTTGATCATGATTGGCGACGTCCAAAAGCTATCAATAAACTTTTACTTGGACTTGACATCCATCTGGTTGACTTTAAGGCCAACTCATGTCCAAAGCGATGCCGATGTGATCGCCGTCACCATAAAATAACGAGCTGTGCACTCCCAGGCTCGTGCTCGTCTGAGTTTGTCAAGTCGGGCAACGTATCGTCAAAAAGTGCGTCGGTTGCATCCGGCTCCAAGTCGCTCTCATCTTCTGCTCCATGAAAATCGTCCAACATGTATTCGCTGGGCTTGCATTTACCCGAGTTTCCTGCGCGGGCGGCCGAGCTGTGGCCTTCGACAATGGTGTAGTCAAGAACCTTGAACACGATGGCGTTCGCATCCCTATCGCTCGGCGGTGCCACCAATTCGACGTCCAAACGCAGAACTTCGACTTCCGGCGACTCTGGAACGCAGGCCAATATCTCCCACAGGGGAATGCCCACCAAAGGCTGCGCGTCGGTCCAGGATAAAGATATCTGCGGCCCCTGCTCCAGCATTCTCCAATTGAACCGAGTGCCCCACGGAATTTCGCCGCGTGGTGAAACTGCCAGGAACAAGCAGACCAGGACCTCGCCGGCCTCCATAACACAATAGAAGGCATCCTCGACAACGAAGCGCGGCTTCGCATTCTGATAGAAATTGGTGGCAAACTGCGCGAGACCCGACGCTTCGTATTCGCGCACTCGAAAGCTTTGTGGTCGCAGTTTCGCCCCCTCCTCTACTGCGGAGTCCGGTAGTTCGTCATCTGTTGCATGGATCGGTTTTGATAATCTTTTTCGCCTATTGTCGGTGGCCTCGCGCACAAGCTTGGCCCAACGCTTCGGATTCCGCTGTACGAAAGTCACCCAGTCGTCGAGCGTCGCCTTCACCTGCGAGTAACCCTCCTCACAGGCCTGCCGCGCTTTCTGGGCTTCTTTCCGAGCTACACGGAAGATTAGAGTAGACATAAGTGATAACTATGAATTGAAGATGAGAATATCTATTAATATTAGCTTCTATCCAACGGATTAGCTGTCTATGAATCAATATTAGACTATCTATTCAGCGGAAGACTGGAATGGACAACTTCTACTCGCAGCACGGAGCCGCCTCTGACACAAGAAACCCGAAGAGAAAATAGCCCCTAAATGAAGACCGCCTCTAAGTCTAACAGAATAAGAAATGACCCCAATAGAAAAAACCCACGCGCCCCTCTGACGCAAGAAGCCCATATAGTTATATGAGGACCACGCAGGGAGTAGCCCTATCATAAATTACTCACCCACTGCCCCCATCACTGGCGCGTCACTCTCTCAGCCTGGGGCCCAGACTGAATGATGGATACTGGAGCTACGCTTTACTTAGGGAACAACACACAAACACCCATAACTTTATATCAACGAGTGTCCCGGCGAGCCTCTGCTTGTTTGCAGCCAAATAGGCGAGGAAGTCCTCCTTCGTCTCGTCCGATTTCCAAATATCACCAGCAAATCGCTCGTACTCTCGAAGCGCAAGGGACCTCACACTGAGGTACTTTTTTCCGGTTTCGCGCTTCTTCACTTTCTGGTTTATTCGGCGGTGCTGAACAATCGACCACCTTGTAATGTGATAGCAATCGTTAGGGGCAGGAGCTACTCTGAACTAACAATGTGTGCCGTGCATCTCTCTGAACTAACAATTCCCGGACTTATATTCCCCGCCGTTGAGCATCACCCAACGAAAATATAATAATATGTTGAGACGGCTGGTGAACGACCCCGAGCAGAAGACAGACTACACACTACTACCACTAATCTCATCCCTGACATAAGTTTGAACGCGCTGGCGCGGCTGGCTCGCGGCCAGCTGCGTATCTGGTGGGTGAACGTACGCGAATCTCCCGCACCTCCCAGCTTTCTTTCGCAGGGGAAGTTATTTGGCGCCCCTGCGTCAATGACCTGGTTGATTTCGTCCTGAATCTGTTTGTCCTGCACTCCGAGGGGGCTCCGAGCCGCCCTTTTCTGAAGGCCATGAGAGTACTCATCCAAAAAGCGCCGAGGCGTGTCCAAAAACAGGGCCTGCTCTGCAAGAAACCCGGAAGGATTCCTCATGGAGGAGAGGCGCCATAGCCGCGTGGGGTAATCGTTGAACCGGTCGAATCGCGCGAGGATCTGCCGCTATTAGAGTCAATGACTTAAAAAGTGAAAACAAGACTGCCTGATGGAATGAAACAAAGAGTCTATGTATGAGAGAGTTGTAGTAGAGAAAGTAAGAGTAAAAGGGTGCATGCACATTCACATAAAGAAGTAAGAGCGCTTATACTAAGCATAAGCGCTCTTCATGTATAATATATTTCAATATATTTATGCTGCATAAAGAGGTGAAAGAGTGCACGCAGAACGAAGTAAGAATACTTATACCCCGCCCATAAAGAAACGTGCTGAGAACACGAACAACAACAACGTTGCCACCAGAGCCATCCGCAGAAGCTAACAGGTCTGGGTCGTGTCTCAGTCTGGACAGGCATTTGCGCGCCTTTTCCTCTGCAACACGTTGACACCGTCCAGCACCCAGCTTGACAGTAAGCGGCTCCACATTCAAAAGTTAGAGGATTCGAGAGGTAGACTGTCCCCTAATGAAATGGAGTTCATAGCAAACTGCAGCGGGGATCAATTATTTGACTCAAATACTTGCTCAGCTCCAGCTGAGTTACTCAGCTCCACCTCCAGTTGATTTATTCAACTCCAACGCTATTAGTTGCCCAAGTCAAACACTATTACTTATTCACCCCAAACGCTGACTATAGCTATCTCATTACTGACTTACTCAACTCAAATTGTTTGACTGTTTGGGAGGGGAGAAAACCTTAAAAGAGTGGGTCATCTTTCCCAGATGCAGCAATTTTCCCCACCGGGCCACATATGTCCCAGCCGAGCACCGCCATGCCAACGCTTAGGTAGGTTCCAGGCGCCTGAACATACCGCCGAAGAAAAGATATCCGCTTGGACTGCACAGTCACCGGGATTATCTTGCTGTGTAGTGATCTCGGCACCAGCAGTAGCAGCAGCTGCAGGGCCACCACGCACGGGCCAAAGAGGAAAAATCGGGAATTAGAGGCGAGCTATTCTCAATTCTGTACCAGCTCAAGGCAGTAGAAAGAAGTGTTCTCAAGGGTTGGCGCATGCGTGGATGCGTGCAGAGTTGCCGATAGTTTTGCATCATGGATGTAAAACAAACTAAAGGCAAACGATACTTGACAACACTTCTTCCCAATCCTTTGCAAGCACTAGGGAAGGCAGGAAACATAGGCGGGCATAAGTGTAACTACTGGGTGCTCTTCCACCTTGCAGACTCGTTTGATGATGGCCGCCGCTATTGTGTGGCGATTTCCCGACCGAATCGCAAGCATTAGTCCCACGTCGAACGAGGACTCATACAACTGCGAGAGACACTCCACCTTTTGCCGCATTTCTGAAAGTTGCTCCTCCGTTAAATCTAAGACGATTTGTCTGCAGGAGATTTTCCACTCCTCTACTACACTCGGCGCCACATACTTCAGAATTAGAGGGGGGAATCTCACAAAACATCACTAGGTACTGGTAGGAGTATGGAGCGAGGGAGAGAGACTACACTATATTTACACTTGCTATAGACAAGAGACAGCCTTAGGCAGAGGGATCACTACCGAGCGAGTGGGAGAGCAACATAGAGAGCTTGCACTGTGCAGATCAGCCCAACGAGGGCGAGGCACCCCACGATAGAGAGACTACAAAAGAGGATGAGAGGCCAGCTACGATAGACGTCAGACTACCAAAGAGCACTCAAGGAGCATACTCGAACAACATAAAAACAAGACAGAGCAGGCCTTCGCTAAGTCTTCTTTCGCACTTCCGTCGACTTCACCGTCTGGCACTTCGTGGATCTCGTTGCGGTTCTTGGCCAACTTCTGCTTCCCCTCGAGGCCGATCATCCCGTAAGCGGAGCACAGAGCGAATTCTCGATTAGAGATGAGCGCGTTACCAAAAAGCTCGGAGCAAGAATATGAATAGATCGACGATTGATTATAAATTATTATTATAATTATATACTATATGAATTCTGAAATTTAAAGTTATGAATTATAAAAATGACTAGCAAAGTGATAGGCATGATTAAGCCATACTTCACGAGAATAGATCCACATACTCACATAATGCCTGTAGTAGTCTAATAGTAAGCACTTTGCATCCAAGGATAGGGGAACCATACTAACTACTAGCTGGAAGTGACTCCCATGCGACTGCCTGTAATAATGATACTGAACGACGAATGACATCGATAGCGCCATAATATGTGGTGCACACTCAACCACCACCAAGTGGTATTCTATCCCGATGGCCGCGAAGACCTCCCGGTGTCTCTTATTGAGTCTCCGGGCCGCTGCGAAGTTAGCAGAAGCGCCATCGGAGCATACAGTGTGCACGAACTTCTTCACACGCTTGCCTCGTGTTCTAAACGCCTGCACGTTCACCGACTTCAACAAGTCCACAAGCCTATCGAGAGCGACGATGATGCTCTTCGCAATCGTGGCGCCATCCTTGCTCGCCAAGATGAGCAGCTCCGTGAGCATTTCTATTGCCCTTCCATCCTGGGTGTAGAGTCCGCAGACAAAAGTCTGAATTTTTTTGGCACGCGCATTGTCCCCCTGCTTTGTTCGCAACAACGTGGAACTCTCGTCGTGTCCAGTTCGGAACACAATGCATTCGCACCCCGCATTTAGGTCTGCTTCAATGGCCGCTCGCAGGAGCGCCAAATTGTCCTCGAACATCACCTCCACGGCCGCGTCTCTGAGGCGCCCGAGCTGCGTTCTCGATGTGACAGCAAGTTCGCAGGCGTCTCGACTAAAGTGACGAATCGCAACCGTGTCGTCTGCTAGCACCATTGCGAGATGTAGCGTCAAGCCTGTAACCTGCTTATTTATTTCGGCTTCCTGGTGCTATTAGATGATAACACGTAGAGTTGCTCCGCGTCTTGCAACATGATGTTGCGAGGGAGGTGCAGAAGCACATCTCGTCTCCCGAGCGAGGAGCAACTCACACAAAAAGCCATACCGCAAAAAGGTGGCGAGGTTCTGCCAATAGCGGCACTTCTCTAGCCACTGAAGCCTCGTAAAAGCCTTCTGTCCTCTCCCATCAGCTTCTTCCTTCTTCAGTTTTTCGGGTGGATATTTCATTAGAGAAGATGATAAGGGCCGGCCGCAGCTAGGAGGGTTGTTTACTTTGCATGCACTACATCAAAATACACCCAGAACAATCAGTCATCCATGGACCACGGTGACAAAGTAAACTGATCTTTCCCAACCTCCCATCCAACGAACGCGACGAAGCGCAGTGTCTTAAGATCAGACTTGGGTTCTTCTCACGCGGCGGCTTCTTGGGTCTCTGGCTTTCCTTGACGGCCGACAGTCCTTGCAGGTTTTTTCGCTTAGCGGAGCCGCCATTCGGACCTCCTGCGAGGAATTGACGAACTGCCTTGGCCAAACGCTTCTTGCTGAAGCGCGCCTTTCGAACATGAGCTAGATTAGAAAGAGGGATACTACCCCGCACGAGGGAGGGTTCAGATTTGAATACAACGATAGGGGATTAGGTGACCATGTATTTTTATTTTATGGAAGAGAGGTCTTATAAATCTTAGCGGTATCCTTCTAATTATGACGCTATTGCCCAACACTATCATAGGTCTTTTCTAACAGTTAAAAAAGACCTACTTGCTGTCTATCCGCTGGTTAGTAACTAGTTGCATCCGACTGCCCGTCATAGTCTTTTTCTTATTTTTCCTCCGCCCGAGCGCAGCCGCAGATCGAGCAACTGAAGCAGTCAACCGCGGCATTCTTTCTACTTCTAGTCATCGACGAATGAGCGAGTACGCTCTGGCTCACTTAGTTCAATTAAATTTCTGCACTATGTCTTTTTCGTCTTTGCTTCCTTCAGACACTAGATTAAAAAACTAAATATCATTTGTATCGTTCGTTGGCCAGCCACCTAGGAAAATGATACTTACACTCTCTCTCAGTCAGTCTATCATTGTCAAGTGAACTTACTTCCGACAAGCGCACATCGATCATGTGAGGCGCTATGTATAGTAAGCTTCCACCAAATAGAAAGAGGACAAGCGGGAGACAACACGGCCAACTACTCACTTAACTAAACAAGAGAACGTGCTTACTGAGCAGCTTGCCTTATGATATCACAATCGTTTTGTTTGTCTTGGGATCTTCAGCGTCAGAGATGGGATCACTCTCCGCGCCGAGCAGGACGAGATCGCAGAACAACGAACAATCGGTCCTAACTATAACTAAAGCCATCTTCGATTTCGAGGTCGAGCAGCCTGCCAAGTCCGTCTCAGTAGCGTTTTAGTGTGATGGGGGGGAGCCGGATGGCATGGGTAGCTAGCTGAGGAGAGTCAGTTCCAATTGACACGCGCTAGCCCATATTTTGAGACTGATAGATCTTCAGTGCTAACAAACTGGTGGTAGAATTAATTGAAAAGAGACTTACTTATATCAATATCAAAATCCAAGCAACGAATAGCCTGGCAGAGACATCTTGAGAAAAGTTCTCACTTCCTTGTCGAACGATGCGCCTACAAGATTCGACTAGGTTCTAGAGAAGAAACCCAAACAGTTTGCGCTTGCTGGGGAGCAAGCATTCTACCACGCCACATTCGCTTGTTCGTTGACCAGGTAGAAATACTCACGAAGATATCCAATGTCAATGAGAAGCTTGTCCAACCACGTGCCGGAGCCGTCTCCGATGGCAGCGGCACTCGCCAGCTCCAGCTTTGAGCGGAGTACTACCAGCAGGGCAGCCCGCATAGCCTTGGGCGAGAGGCCCTTACTTTGCAACACCGCTCGAAGGCTCAGCTCCACGCGGTCCGAAAAATGAGAGGAAGCTTCAAACTATCAAGTAGCACATCTTTCAGCTACTGCTACTTAGGACCCAAAGCCACCCCTTAGAAATCACTTTTAATCAACTGTTTCACCCACCCATCTGACTTCATCCCAGCTCTACGTAATTTGAAATTATTTCACCAACTAACGATTACTATATCTACCAGAAAGAGGACCAACCATAATTTAACGCGGCGCGCGGCTCCTCGAGGATTTTTCGCAGGTGCCTGGGCTCCATTTGCTTGAAATTCAACAGAGCTGCGAATACGGCCTCGGCCTCGGTCAACTCCTCATCCGGGTCTGCGATGTCACGTTTCGTGATGTCGCGCTTCGCCTGCCCATCTTTTTCTTTCGGCTTGGCCGAGGTCCTCGGCGGGGTCGAGTTCTCTACTACGGGACTCACCACCTCCTTCTCATGCTGTCCCGGTTTAACCACGTCTTCGTCGCGGCTGAGCACGGTGTCAGCACGGTCGACACGAATAACCAACCCCATGGGAGATCCGAGAACGCCGCCCATATTTCAGCTTTATTATCTCAACGAAAACGAGCTCCAAAAGCTGCTATATCAGCTGTCTTATTCCAGCTGTGGCTTTTCTTGTAGAGTCTTACTCCAACTATGTCTTTTCTTATCCCAGCTAGGTTAGATAGTTGGATAGATTAGATAGCATGTGGCTATATAAGCTGAGCAACCAAGCAAGCTAGAGTCTAACAAACAAGCAATCAACCCAACATAAAATTGAGGCTGAACCAATGAAACTAAGCACGAGCAAGAGCATACGTATGCCGCGCGCCCACTAAGAAAGAGTCACAGCTAACTGCGTGCCGCTATTAGTCGAAAGCTGAGATTTGAATTGCTGAACACCACCGATAAGCTTTACTGAAAACCACCGAGCCAAGAGAGAGAGAGAGAGAGAGAGCGAGAATCTCTTGGCGACGCCGTGCAAATATGCATCATCATTTAATTTAAAACAACCAGAGGGACTCGTCTTGGATCTTTGCTGAATTTTTTGCATTTTGATACCAACCCCGCCCTCTGCAGTATTTGCTTGCGGAGGGACGGGGGCGACCTGTGCGCATCGGCCGTCTGTGCGTATCTGCGCGCCCATACCGGCGAGAATGACACAGGCACGGCCGTTAGTTGACAGAGGAAAGAGGAACCTCTGCCATCCAGGGACTGCCCGCGAGGAGGACGCACGCACAGGAGCCTTTTTAGTCCCCAAACTGCCATAACAAATGACGCGCTGCCCCCACTAGCATGACCATCACGAACGCCTACGCACTATCGACACGCGGAACCCCGGTGGGGGGCCGCGGAGGAATGGACGCCCGCCGAATCCAATCCGAAGAAGAAACACTACCAAAATGCCAAAACCCGCGCAGCGCGCCAGCTGAAACACTACCAAAACAACCAGCCGAAGGGGTCCTATTGTGTCCATATTGGGTCCCCCCCCGCCCTCCGGTTTTCGAATGGGGTCAAATCGTAGCCGTCTGGTCGTTCTAATCAGCCACCATATGCATCAACTTGTTCTGGTTTTGGTCCATAGCCGCAGCGTCGATCAGCTATAGGAGATTTGGGAGGAATGAGATAGGCCAGCGGAGATCTCAGCACCATGATCAGAAACGTCTACGAACGTCTAGTGACCTCAAGATAACAACGCGAAGACTACCGACAAACATACTAGCAGGCTGCTCCACGACTCGACTCCAACACATCTACCTACTTCTACCGACGACAACCCTAAGAGGAGATCAATACCGCCTCGATCGTCGGGCTGCTGAAGTATTTGCGGAGGACGCTGCGCTGCGGCTCGTTGCTGGGTTGCTGGTGATGTGCTGCTTCAGATTGCACAACTCCGCGATGTTGCCGCTCTCAATCGAAGGCGTGACGCCGTTGTAAAATTCTCCCAAGACAGTTAACCCGCGCAGCTCAGTGGCATTCGTTTCGTACCTGGAGGCTTCAACTGAGTAAACGTTGTAAAAGTTTTAGAAAAATGCCAACAAAGACGAGTACTCTCAAGGACAGAAAAATCTAAAATCATTGCAAGACAACCAGATGACTCGATAATACGCACAGATCTGCGCACAAGTCTACGACTTCAGACTATTCACTCCTAACATTGATTCTTCAATCTTCAAGCTCTGACATCCCAAAAAACCGGACGCCAGTCTTTGAGGGTGCGCAGAGTTAGCGGACCACCACGGTCGTCGCGTGCTTTCACGTTCGCCACTCCGTGCGCCAACGCTTTCAGGGCCATCTCCTCGATGCGGGCCTTCCTGTTAGCATCCGTAGTCTTGATGTTGGCTTTGCTGAGACCCTTCAACATGTTGGCACCCCCGGCACGCGTCGTCTGGCCTTCTGCCTTCAGGTCGCCGTTGGTCTGTAGAAGGAGGTAGAGAATTCGATAGGAATAGACAGGAAAAGTCTGAAGAACATTCCATGAAATGAAATCAAAATGAGTAACGGTCTGAGTAAATGTCTCCTATCGTGTGCTAGTGGTGGACAAGAAAGAACGAATGGCTTTGAGTGGAATCTAGAAAATTTTGCTTCATCATCCTACTCGCTTCTCTCCTTCAGGTAGGAGGCGTCGAATTGCTAAAAGTGAGTATATTTATACGCAGACGAGGTCGACTTCTGGTCCGGTGAAACCATCCAAGCCACCGCTTTCGTTCAAGCTCTGCGCAAAAATGGCACCGGTGGGAAGGAAGGTCCGCAATGTTACGGGGCAAAGTGCTGCAGGTGGCGAGGGCCTGTTGGATGCAAATCTCATCAGGCGTCAGGTACTGCACGGGACCAGGCTGCAAGATCTTGGAGATGGTCTTGCGGGTGTTGCGATCATTATCGCGAAAGGCTTTCTTCACAGACAGGGACAGCTCGACACGCGGCTCCTCCTGTGGTGGTTGAAGATGCGAGCAGATGAGGGAAATTGATGAGAAGAGTTTGTATAATCATTCTGCCACGCTTCTAACTCAGATGATCCTACACAATTCCAACGGACCTAGACTCCCGACATTTGCACCCAACACATGATATAACCATGGCTACAAGATGAAGTAAGCAAGATAAAAAAGTAGTACACGCAATCCGCAACGCTTCGCAATTTCCTTGGCTTCGTGGAGGCTGTCGCGGGCCTTCAGCTTCTTCTTGTTCGGACCTCCGGAGGCGTTGCTAGCGCTTGGCATTCTGTCGGCGTGTTCTGTCAGAACTGCAACAGCCCTCAACTTTTCTGACTTGCAACCTCTTCTCTCGAGTGAAGTCGTGTCTGGTTTTCCTATCGTGATGGACTAAGCAGGTGGTGGATTTTTTTTTAGATGAGTGTAGTACTTTTAGGATTGAGATAATGACTGAGATACGCAAGCTCAGAAACCAAATGAATAATATTACAAAACTATCGGACTCCATGAAGGAGAGAAGGAAAGAACTCTAGACAATAATACTAGGGAGCTACTGACCTTACAGCCTGTACTGGGTCGGTGGATCTCTTCGCGAGGATTGATCAGAAGAAACGCCGTGAGGCTATCTGTTTTCAGTCATAACACAAATTGGATCGCGTGGCCGTGATCTTTCCATAACCCTAACGATCCAGACACGAGCACCATCCACGACGTGCTCCTTTTTAGATGATTGGCGTCCTCCTTTAGCTGATTCCAGTGCATGAGGGCCACACGTCATAACTCATGGTCTCTGAATGATCATCACAAGAGTGCCACAGACCGGAAGCCACAACGTCTGATACTACAACAGACCCCAGCACCACGAACACAGAGCCCCGCTCGATTTTGCTTCTTCCATGGCGCGCGCTAACTCCTGCTCCTGTTTGTCCCCATGTGATATCCCCCTCCGCCCCTGGGCGCTGTGGCCTTGTAATAGTAACCCACTGCGTTCTACTTTCCTCACATAGCTTATCGGCTGCAGTCTAGTCTAAGTTGTTGAATTTGAATAGGTGCCCAGTAATGTCCTTCATGGCATTGGTCTTGAGATTGGTCGAGCACAGGGGAAATGAGTCGCATCTTTGACAAGTGGGCCACTTGCATGCAAGATGTTTGATTTCTGAAAATTGTGCTAGCAGCACTGGGGTCAAATCTCCAGGCGCGATCTTCGTGAAAAGAGTCTGAAAGTGATTAGAGGCATACAGGTCAGCAACAAGCTGGCAACTAGATAGCAACTCATTTCCTATTTATGAAAGTTTCGCGAAATTAGTATGACTCTCAAACTTTTAAGTAGTTTTCTGCTCGGTTGAACGGTTGCAAGTCTAGACATCAGCGACATTTATGCAGATTCAGAAGATGAAGCAAGAGCATGAGTTTCGCGCTTCTAATATTTTGATAATAATTTGAGAACCAGACAGTTTCCAGAAACTTGCACGGAAGAAAACGCTTGAAAATGTTGAAAGTTGTGAGGTCGTTGCTGCAGATGAGTTGACTAAAAGTCGGCGGAAGCCCTACTAGGTGAATACGCCTACGATGTGCACCACTAGAAGACGCTACTAACTTAAATGCGTCCACTTTGGATGCGCTTTGATGGCATGCCAATGCTTGAACCCATATCATTCACATAAATAGCAACAGAACAGAAGGCGTTTACTCTAAACACAATCGCCACGGGATGAAAGTTCAACGCTATGACATCTGCAGGGGTCTACATTTCCCACCTCAGAAAATGTAAATAGTATCCATCACCTGTACAATATAAGCTACTGCAAAGCCAGTGCTGAAAAGTCAATTGCTTCACGCTATAAATAGTACTTTATAAACGCAAGGCAGTGCGGTGAAGTCTGTGCAATATACTACGAGAAGCATATCCTATACATTTGAATGCTAATGCTGCTAAATCCCATCGAGACGACGAGCCGAGATAAATACTCTAGAACTCAAAGTCCTCAAAGAATTCCCCATACCCCGGCATATCATCAAACGGCGCATCTCGATGCCCCACTTCGCAGCATTCCATGGCTGCGCCACAGAGCTGCCGACACTTGCGAAATGTCCTCAGGTTTTCGCCTTTTAGTCGTTTCCAGTGGTCTGCTCCCCGAAGTACTATCTCCGAGATGTAGTCTTCGAATTCCACCTGAAGGCGATCCTTGTCCCGACAACGGTAGTCATTGTTCTTGCACCACTTCCCCACTCTATCCAGAATAAACCTGGCCCGCACACACCAGAGAGCGGCCAGGTGGCCGACGATGCACTCCTCGTCCTCAGGATGCATAAATTTTCTACCAGCTGACTTCTTCGCATTGCTGACCAAATCTATCTGCGCCTCGTTGATCACTCGCAAGAATCGCTCCTGCCGCTTTCCCACCACCCTCGCCGGCAGATTGTCCGTTAATCTGCCCCACAACTTCCACGCTGTTACACTAGACCCGTCGGCAATCGAAAAGCCATCGATCTGCAGCGCTTCCATGCAAGCACTAACGTGCATTTTTAGCCTCGCACGATCTTGCTCGACGCATGGCGGCACCTGCTTGGCCGCTATTGTCCCCTTCTTCGATGGAACCACTTTTCGAAGATCTTCTTCAAGTTTAAAGAGAGTTGCCGGCTTAGCAGGCACAGGACTACTATCGCCTTTTTCTGCTGCTGCTACTTTCTCCCGCTCCATCTTCTTCTTCGGAGCTTTTCCCCGTCCCTCCTTTTCGTTCATGATTCGACCTATTTCGTGCCGCTTCAGCGTCTTCCTCTGCTGCTGCGCAAGAATCTTGTCTAAGTAGTTCAAGTTCTTCGGTTCGGCAAGAAGTGGCGACGCTTGCTTTTGCTCTTTTGCTCCTTGCATGACGTGAACACGACGACCCTCAGCTATTTGCAAAACCGCCTTTCCCTCAACCACACGCCCCTGCGGCAAAGCACGAAAAACCCGCCAAGTGCGGCCCTTGTATTTGTCGTCCTCCAACATGGTCGGACTATGAGCAAAGCCATCCGTGATGTAGTACACTGCCGCCCCTCCTGCCACATGTTGCTTTGTCAAATTTAGCGCACTAAAATCCATCCTCTGCTGATCAATTCTCACTACTAGCTTCATCTACCAGGAGCCGTTCTGGTCCTTCAGCGTTTTTGAGTACTAGTTGCAAGATGGAGACTGCTGCTACAGAAGCGAGCTCTTGCCCTACAGTGTCGCCATTCTCGAACTCGTCCGCAGCAGGTACTTTGAGTTCAATGTCTTCTAAAACGGGAAGTAGCTCGCCCTCGTCTGCAGCATCACGCTTCCTCTTCAACGCTTTGCAACACGCTACCGCGTCGCGCTCTAGTTGGTGGATCTTCCTCGGCTTCACATGGAGAGTCCCAGCCGGATACTTCGGAGTCTGCAGCCACCTCCTACAACGAGTAAGCGACTCCGCGTGGAAGAGTCGTCCTGAGCGCGGATCGCTCTGCCGCCGCTCAGTCGCACCTACCTGCGCCAGTTCGTAAAATTTCTCCTCCTGGCGAACAACAAATGAGTCCCGAGGAGCAGGGACATCTTCTAAAAAATGATCATCATCAGAATCGTCCGACAGCACGTCATCCGCAGGACCTATGTGTTCCTCCTCCTGGTCCAAAATCCGGAGAAGACGCATCCTCGTCGCGTCTCGACGGTCCTGATCATTCGTCCTGAGCTCACCTTTTGTCATTAGCTTACTCCGCCTACCACCTTCTATCCCATCTCGATTCTCCTTCATTTTCCTCGATCTCCACAAGTCGCGGGAGCGCCTATAAATAACTGTAGCGCGCTTTCTTGTGAGAAGGAGACGACTTGTCCCGGCAGTACTGCTCTCCTCTGATTTGCGACGCCCTACTAATAAAATCAGAACGACAACTATCCCCGAGGACGCTGCTGATCGAACGCCAACTCCCTGCTTTTTTTGCTGACCGTTTAAGGCGCTGCGCTTTTGTCTCCACCCCCTTGCTGCGGCGTTTGTTGGCGTTCATCAGGTCCATTATCCGCTTCAGCAGCTGCATGCGATCAAGGTCGCCCCTCCCATTCACAATCAACCAATGCCGCAATGAGCGAAGTGCCAAAGCCCCAGCATCAGATGCGCGGACGGAACTCAGATCCATGTCCCGCAAAGATAGCCAATCCACCTCACCACGAGAATACTTCTCCATCCAATCCTCATGGAGATCGCAAAATGGTCCATACCTCCAGGAAAAATGAGCCGCCAACGATCGAACGGCGAGGATGCTAGCGGCTGCCATCGTGAGCACCTGGGAAAGAAGAAAACGAAGATACCAAGATCAACGAGAACGACGCAGATCAACAAAAATGCACTACAAAGTAAATCTTTCTCAAAAAGTATGGCCATGAAGTAAATACATCAAAACTCAGCACCGCTCCTAGCTGCTCCTCTGAAAGCGGACAACAGAACACGATGGACAGCCGTAGGCATAGCGTGGCCCAATCCTCCAAATGGGCAAGCACCTCCGCTATATCGCTCGCAAAGTCAACCAATATCCGACTACGCAGCCGCGCGGCATCTTTTAACTCCACCACCAAATAGTGGCGCACAGGCCTCGTAACTTGCGCCACAAAATATTCGCTGCAACACAGCATAAAGTTGCCACCTGATGGCGATTCGAGATGCTTGCAAATGCGTGCGCACTCAATTGATGAAGGATAGACCCTATAGAAACGCACACAAGTGCCTGCATTACAGACCAGCTACAAATGCCAGACTTCAAATATTAAAAAAGTCATGGCTCGACTTCAATCACCACTACAGAACGCTGGTAATTATTCAGCACGCAAATAAATAAATATGTCATAACGCCTTTCCTCCGCTGCTTCACTGAGATGACGTTCTTTACGGTGTCCCCCTTTAGCCTCAACTGGTCCCCAAGTAGCCGCTTAATCAAATAACCCAAGCCAAACGCCATAGCGATCATCATCCTCACCAGCATACTCGGGAAGGTCATCCAACGAGACCACGACGGAGCCCTCATGCCTTTTGCTAATCCCAAAATTGCGGCGCGTGCTCGTGTTGTCCACTCTTTCTCGCATCGCAGCGTAAGCGGCTCTGTGTAATTAAATTCAGCTCCACACGCTTCAGCGCCCTTATGCTTTCGCTGGGAATACGAAAGTCCCGCATAAGAGTCTTCAGCTGTTCCTCGAGGTGAAGATCGTCTTTTTCTGCTTCAGAAAGTTGCCCGCTCAAAAACTCAGTGCAGCCACGACTAATTTCGGCTCGCTGGTGCTGGACTGTTTTGACCTGGAGGAGATAAACAAACAGACCAAAACAGAAGGCATCGCTTGGCCATGAGATGTTCTTATGCTTTACAATCTCCACTGGCATTTGAAAGCTTTCAAACTACAAGAAAACGCATAAGCTTCACGTTAGAACACTGAAAACCTAGAAACCAGACCCGCAGGGGAGTCAAGTTGGAAACAGTACCCCCTTCACTATACCTGCGAAGGTTGGAGCAAGTCCATTCAGTTTGATGATTCTCATGCAGTTCCAAAGTGTGCTTGTTCATGTCAATGAGTATCCAGCTACTTGCTACGCTAGGGATGTCGGTGCTGATGTTCTCGATCCCGATAGTATTCCATTCCTATGGTGATCATCCTGATGGTGACCCCCTTGGTGTGATCTTGTTGATCTTCCTATTGGTGTGATTCTGATCCTGTAACCATTTGGCTCACGATCTTGGTGGACCTCTTGACTGAGATCCTTGAGCCGTTTCACGTTGTTGATCTATCCATTATCATTCTGCCCAGCACTTCATCAACTAGAAATAAATCAAAAATAAACACAGCTAAACGCGCCCGCTTTTCCCAAACCCTAGGGTTTGTCCCCGCATGCCACAACATCAAATCTGCGCACTCCCTCGCCGCTATTGACGCCATATGTATGCGGCACCGGCCAGGCCAAAAAAACACTCGATCAGCAAGGCACGGCTCCCCTGGCGCAGCAGTAAACCAAGATCCCAGCCAAATTTGTTGGCTTAAAGTGGGTCCACCACTGTCGGCAAAGTAAACAAACGCCACTACTTTTCCCTGTGGGATATCTTTCGCTATCTCCTCGAAGTTCATCTCGCTCGTCACCAAACCAGCAATGTCCGCGGCCTCCACTAAGTCACGTGGCGTTGGAACCAGAGGCCCACCTCCAAGAACTCCCCCACTCTCCTCTTCTGCTTGCTTCTTCCACCTACCCTGCGGGGCGAAGACCGTCGTGGGAGCCGGAGGCTGAGCTGATGCCCGCGCGCTGCTGTTAGCTCCTCGCCAGCTGATGTTTTTTTCTTGTACTACCCACTTCGACCCCCTCCACACCTCCCGCCCAACTTCTCCAACTTTAAGAATTCCTCAGCTTGCGCCATCGGTCTCATTCAAACGAGCAACGTCCTGAAGTGAGGCAGATGTTAGCACTTTTTTCACAGCAGCCCGCGACTCCTCCAGTAGTAAAGTGCTCACTTTAGCCATCTTCCTCTTGCTGTCTCCATCCGTTGCGAGAGTCGCATCCACATCGAAGGGAGGTAGTTCTTTGCAAAGGCTTGCCCCTGCACCTTTGCATCAGATTCCGCTTGCGCCTGCAGGTCTGCCCTCTGGATTATTAGAGCAGCTGGTCGCGGTTTGTTAGTGTCTTTCTTCT